GGGCCTCTTTCGCGGTTTGAAATCTGGCTTTTTGGGGTTTTCTCAGATTTTCCCGCGAGGGGGCGAGGGGCGGATGCAGTTTCGATGAATTCTTCCGCGACATGAAATCGGGCCGATCGGGGGTTTATCGAAATTCTCCGTTGGGGGGCGAGGGGTGGGCCAATTTCGAGAAACTCATCCGCGGCGTAAAATCTGGCCGCTTGGGAGTTGCCCGAAATTTCGCCCCCCCAGCCCCGCCGCCCATGGGGGATCGCGTGGTTTTCTCAATGTTGCCCGCTTGAAGGAAGCATATTTGAAGAAATTCAAATTTGGCCTGACCATCGGCCTGCATAGGAATTTATCGAAATGCGGCCGCGGCGACAAACAAAAATGTGAGACGCTTCACTTCAGCCAGATTATTGGACTGCAGAGTAGGTTCCCATAGTATGTTTTGAACGAGGAATTCCCAGGCGCGCCTCCTGAATCAGGTGCCTCAGCATCGGGGCCGTCACTGGCCTTGCCGTCGTCGTTGTCACCCTCGTCGCTCGCATCGCTACTATCATCTTCGTGTCTACCGCTGTCGACGTTGGCATGGTACCGCGCCCCCTCAAGTCGCCGGCTCGCAGTGAGGTGCCCGCTGGGAAGTGCGGAGCGGTCTTAATTCTCCTTTGTGCGAAACAGACTCCCTCCCCCCCGGGTTTATCGACCCTCCTTTTCGCATTGCAATTTACATTTGATTCTGCCACATCGTCCATCCAAAATATGAGTTCATACCATTCCAGCCGAGCCGGTATCGACCCCCCCCCCGCCGTTCCTTGCAACAAATATTATGCGCGCGCACTCGTTTATCACAAATAATCACTTTTCAATATCCCCTGCAACAAATTGACACGAAATGCACACGCGCGCGTTGTCGCGCGTGCATGCCGAAATCCTTCAAAAACCGTCGGTTCCGGAAAGATTTCAAAATCGAGTGTCCAAACAATACATACATACATCAATACATATATATATATATATATATATAAAAAAAACATGGTTTCGCAACGCGGATGCTCAAGAAAAGCGTGGGCGCGCGCCCTTGCGAATCCTTAAGACAACCATAGGTTTTCAAGATTTTCAGAAAATGCTACCGGGCGGGCTTCGCGCGCACATGTCGTAATCGTTCGAAACTTTTGCGCGCGTGCTGGGGTGGCATGATCCGTTTCAGATGATACCATGCGGGCCGCTCTCGCGCGTCTGCCGCGCGCGCACTTCGAACTCCTTCCAAAACCTTTCATCACCGACGCGAAGACGCCGTCATCGTCGTCGGCGTGATCGGCATTGGCGCCGTCACTGGCTGCCCCGTCGTCGCTGTCAGCATCGCCAGCAGCATCGCTACTATCATCATCGTGTCTACCGTTGTCGATGTTGCCATGATACCGCGCCCGCCCAAGTCGCCGACTCGCACTGAAGTGCCTGCTGGGATGTGCCGAGCGGTCAACGCCGCCGCGTTCGCCTCGGTCGCGCCAAATTAGCTTGCCGCTGCGCGCGCGAGCATGCGCGGGCTAGCGCGGCCGCAGACAGGCACCAGCCAACACCCAGCATTCATGACAATCGCTTCCGCGTGGGTTTTGAAAACCAAGTTGCGGGTGGGTGGGTGGGATGATTGCGCGAGCAATGGAGTTGACAATTTCAAGTTCGGCAAGTGAATTTTCTAAAAGACTAATAGATTCTACCCCCCCCGGACTTATCGGTTTCCCCGCGCGTGCTGTAAATTACATATGATTCTGACCACATGTCCATCCTAAATATGAATTCATACCATCCCAGCCAAGCCGGGTTCTCCCCCCCTGCGGTTCCCTTTTTAAAAAACACTATGCGGTGACATGTTTTGTTCTAACATAGCACATTTTCACGAATCCCTTGCAAAAAATGGGACGAAGTGCGCACGCGCGCGTCGTGGCGCGCGTATGCCGAAATCCTTCAAAAACCTTCGGTTCCGGAGAGATTTCAAAGTTGAATTTCCAAAAGACATATAAAAACACATGGTTTCGCAACACTGCTTCAAACAAAAAAAAACTTACGCGCGGGCTCTTGCGAAATCTTAAGAAAACCATGGGTGTTTCAAGATTTTCACAACATGCTACCAAACGGGCTTCGCGAGCGCGCATGTCGAAATCTGTCGAACGCCCTTGCGCGTGTGCCGTTGCGAGAATCCTCCGCAAAAAATTTGACGAAGTGCAGACGCGCGCGTCGTCGCGGGCGTATGCCGAAATCCTTCAAAAACCTTCGGTTTCGGAAGAATTTCGAAATCGTGCGTCCAAAAAACCTACAAAATCACAAGGTTTCGCAACACGGGTTTTCAACAAAATTGTGCGCGCGCGCTCTTGCGTCGTCGTCGTCGTCGTCGTCCTCCCTCCTCCCGTCGTCGTCGTCGTCGTCGTCGCCGTCGTCGTCTTCTGTCTTTCCTCGTCGTCTTTGGCGTCGTCGTCGTTTCCGTCGTCGTTGTCGCCGTGGTCGTCCTTCCTCCCTCGTTGTCTTCGTCGGCGTCTCGTCGTTGTCCCTCCTATTTCGTCGTCGTCGTCGTCGTCGTCGTCGTCGTCGTCGTGGTCTTCACTCCTCCCTCGTCGTTATCCTCCTCCCTCGTCGTCGTCGTCCGTCGTCGGCGTCTCGTCGTCGTCCCTCCTATTTCGTCGCCGTCGTCGTCGTCTTCGTCGTCGTTGTCATCGTCGTCGTCTTCCCTCCTCCCTCGTCGTTGTCGTCGTCGGCGTCGCCGTCCTTCCTCCTTCTTCGTCGTTGGCGTCGTCGCCGTCTTCCCTCCTCCATCGTCGTTGTCGTCGTTGTCGCCGTCGTCGTTTTTTCTCCTCCCTCGTCGTCGTCTCCGTTGGCGACGTCGTCGTCGTCTTCGTCGTCGTCGTCGGCGTCGTTGTCGTCGTCGTCGGTGTCGTCGTCGTCGTTGTCGTCGTCGAAAACATTGGAGACGTCGTCGGTGTCGTCGCAGTCGCTGTCGGCGGCGCCGTCGTCGTCAATGTCGCTGTCGTCGTCGGCATCGGTGTCGTGGCCAAGTGCCACGCAGTACCTACCGTCACGGTCTTGTCTGAAGATGTCTTGCGACCAGGTTGCGGGTGGGAGGGTGGGATGTTTGCACGAGCAGGGGAGAGGACAGCTTCAAGACAGTCGAAGTGGATTGCACCACATAGGCTGCACCGCACCGCGTAGATTGCACTACGTCGTAGATTGCACTACGTCGGTGGCACCACATATAGTGCACCACGTAAACTGCGCAACACATCTCAGACTCTACCCCCCGCACAGCGTTATCGGTCCCCCTTTCGGGTATGTAAATCAATTATGATTCTGACCACATGTCCATCCTAAATATGAACTTACATTATCCCCGGGGAGCCGGTATCGGCCCCCCGGAGGTTACCTTGTAAAGAAACAGTACGCGGGGACATTTTTTGTTCTAACAGAAGACCTTTTTTTAAACGAATCCCTTGCAAAACAATGGGACGAAGTGCGCACGCGCGCGTCGTCGCGCGCGCATGCCGGAATCCTTCAAATACCTGCGGTGTCGGAAGGATTTCGCAACCGAGTTTCCAAAACCACGTACGAAAACACAGGGTTTCGCAACACTGATTTGCTAAAAAACTTACGCGCGAGCTCTTGCGAAATCTTAAGAAAACCATGGGTGTTTCAAGATTTTCACAACATGCTACCAAACGGGCTTCGCGAGCGCGCATGTCGAAATCTGTCGAACGCCCTTGCGCGTGTACCGTCGCGAGACTTCTCTGCAACAAATGGGACGAAGTGCAGACGCGCGCGTCGTCGCGCGCGTATGCTGGAATCCTTCAAAACCCATCGGTCTCGGAAGGATTTTTAAATCGTGTGTCCAAAAAACCTACAAAAACACTAGGTTTCGCAACACAGATTTTCAACAAAAGCGTGCGCGCGCGCTTTTGCGTCGTCGTCGTCGTCGTCGCCGTCCTCCCTCCTCCCGCGTCGTCGTCGTCGTCGTCGTCGCCTACGTCGTCCTCTGTCTTCCCTCGTGTTTGTCGTCGTCGTCCTCTTTGGCGTCGTGGTCGTTTCCGTCGTCGTTGTCGCCGTGGTCGTCCTTCCTCCTCCTCCCTCGTCGTCGTCGTCGTCCATCGTCGGCGTCTCGTCGTCGTCCCTCCTATTTCGTCGCCGTCGTCGTCGTCGTCGTCGTTGTCGTCGTCGTCGTCTTCCCTCCTCCCTCGTCGTTGTCGTCGTCGGCGTCATCGTCGTCTTCCCTCCTCCCTCGTCGTCGTCCTTCCTCCTTCTTCGTCGTTCGCGTTGTCGCCGTCGTCCCTCCTCCCTCGTCGTTGTCGTCGTTGTCGTCGTTGTCGCCGTCGTCGTCTTCCCTCCTCCCTCGTCGTCGTCTTCGTTGGCGACGTCGTCGTCGTCTTCGTCGTCGTCGTCGGCGTCGGCGTCGTCGTCGTCTTCGTCGTCGTCGACGTCGGCGTCGTCGTCGTCGCCGTCGTCGTCGTCGCTGTCGTCGTCGTGTCGTCGTCTTCGTTGACGTCGTCGTCGTCGTGTCGTCGTTGTCGTCGTCGTCGTCGGCGTCGTCATCGTCGTCGTCGTTGTCATCGTCGTCGGCGTCGTCGTCGTCGTCGTCGTCGTCATCGTCGTCGTCGTCGTCGTCGTCGTCGTCGTTGTCGGCGTCGTCGAAGTCGTTGGAGACGTCGTCGTTGTCGTCGTAGTCGTTGTCGGCGGCGTCGTCGTCGTCGTCGTTGTCGCTGTCGTCGTCGGCGTCGCTGTCGTTGCCAAGTGCCATTCGGTACCCACCGTCACGGTCTTAAGAAATTTTGCAAACCAAGTTGCGGGTGGGTGGGTGGGATGATTGCGCGAGCAGTGGAATTGACAACGTCAAGTTCGGCAAGTGGATCGCACCACATAGGCTGCACCAAATATCGTGCTCCAGGAATATTGCACAACATATTTTGCATAACGTAGATTACGCAACATATTGCACCGCATATGTGGCGCCACGTAGGGCACCCCATAGATCGTGCCACGACGATGTCTCCACTTAGACTGCGCAGCATCCGTTGCTAGAGACACATACTTGAGGGTCCACGCAGGGCAACATTTCTTCATGCCCCACACGGGCTGCAGGAACGAGGATCTTGGAACGTGTTCTGAGCCAGTCGCATCATGACATCATTCTCGTCTGGCAGAGATCAACCACCGAGGTTGCTGTCGGCCTGGGGAAGCTGTCTGATCGTTGACTCGGCTGTCGTGCCGCGGGCAACCCCGAGCGGGGCCCCGACAGCTGCCTCTGGGCCGGCTCGTTCCCAGGGCACTTCGTGCTCGCTTCCTGCAGCCGCCCTTCACGCGTGAGCGTGCTGCGCCTGGCCCCTCTTTGCTCCGAGTGGTGTGGCGGGCTGCGCTGATTAGCTCGACGCGCCCAAATCAGGGGCAGCGACACGGGGGCGATAGGCTCAGGGGGGGGATGCGTCGATCCGCAGTCGCCCACTCAGCGCCCATGGGGGCCCGATCGCCCACCCCGCCCAGGACCGTGCGGATTTGCCATCGGGGGCCCATCGCCGATCTATCGGCGATGCACCTCCGGTTCCAGGTCGACGCCTCCCCCCCCGAGCTGGGACCCCCCTGTGCTTCGGCTGCCCCACGGCCGGGCGCGGCGCGGCCCGTCCAGGCCGCGGGGCGGCCTGGCAGTGGGGGCCCCGCGGGCGGTAACTTTGGCTCAGCGTGTCGCTCCGCCAGGCGGCTTTCGGCTTCGCTGTGCACCCGTGGCGCTCGCGTGCAAAAGCGGCACGTTCTGAGCGCAGCTCCTGCTCCTTTTCGCCTTCCTCTCCTCTGCCCGCATCTGCTTGGTGCCCGATTCGCTTCCAGAGTGCCCCTCCCGTCGTTGAGCCCCCAGACGAACAAAAATCGCTCCGTTGGATCTGGCGCGGCTTTTTGTCGGCGCAGCCCGCCAACCAATTCCAAGTCTCTTCGGCGAGCGACGGGGGGCAGTGAGAAGGGGCGGGTCTTCTCAGAAGCCTCAGAAGTCCCCTGGCCTCCTGAGGAGTTTTCTAAGCCTTCCCCGAAGACACATATTCCTTGTCACTTCCTCCCCTCGCCCGCCGCCAAACGTCCCCAGGCATCAGCGTACCGAGTTTTTCTTTGCTTCCCGCCTCACGAAGCGGAGCGGCGCGCTGTCCGCCTGCAGGGCATGGCGAGTCGCCAGGGCCGCCGCGCCGCCGCGACACGCTGAGCAAAAGTTCACGACGGTATCTCGTCAGCGCGCAGAAGTGGGCCGGGCTCGGAGGATACTCAGTATCGTTTAACCGATCCCCATCCCCATCCTCATCCCCTTCGAGACCCCCACCAAATTACCACCCCAGTTGGGGATACACCCCTCGCAACCCGAAGGGGACGGCCTATATCCCCGTCTAGGGGGTAAATCGGCCAGTGGGGCCCAGGCCACGCCGCTGGGGATGGGGATCGGAAAAACGATACTCATATACGGGGCCCAAAGGTGTGCACCAGCACCACCTCCCTCATGCCTTCCCTCTCCCAGGAACGAGGGGAGGAGGACGAGCGTGGAGGAGGGAGGAAAAATCGACGCGGTGGTGTACATTCTTGGGGCCCGCGGAGGACGCCACTCGTACTCCACACTCATCCTGGGCAGGCTTACCCTGGGCCCAGGCATGGGCGTGGTGCACGGGTGCCGCCCGCCTGGGGGCGAGGGGGGCGGCCCCGCCCGCCTCCCCCCGGAAGCCTTCTCCGAACCCCCTCCTCCCTCTCCTCCCCCTCCTCCTCCCCTCCTCCTCCTCCTCCTCCTCGTCCTCCTCCTCCTCCTCCCTCCTCCTCTCCCGCCTCCTCCTCCTCCTCCTCCTCCTCCTCCTCCTCCTCCTCCTCCTCCTCCTCCTCCTCCTCCTCCTCCTTCCCCGCCTCCTCCCCCTCCTCCTCCTCCTCCTCCTCCTCCTCCTCCTGCTGCTGCTGCTGCTGCTGCTGCTGCTCCTCCTCCTCCCGAGAAGCCCCCTGCCCTTCCAGACAGCCGCGCAACTCGCCCCGCCCATTGCTACGCGTGGCCAGTGCGCAGAGGAGAGTCCGCGGCGCCCGACGTGGGCAGCTCCGCCCGACGGAGGTGGCTCGCGCGCGCGCCCGAGCAGCTCATTTTCCAGCGGCAGGCACGGAGCGTGGCTGCTACGGCGGCTGCGCTGTGGCGCAATAGTGCGCCTCCGCAGGGGATTGAACAACATAATGGCATAGACACAAGCTTCCAGAGGTCCGCGCGGATTTCTTGGGTCGGCGTTGGCCCCCTCGCCCTTGCGGCGCGTCCGGCGCCGCCGCGCCAGGCGAGGGGGGTCCAGTGCCGACCCAAGAAATCCGCGCGGACTATGCTAAAGCAGTTTTTTTGCTTTTCTGGGAAGGACATGTCTGCCTCTTCGGCTGCGCAGGCTGGTCAAAGATGCCAGGGCGTCGGGGGATGGGGATCCCCTCTCGCCGTGCTTCTGCTTGATGCAGCCGCCCAGCTGCGTGGGGGAGGCCGGCCGGATGCGGACTCGACGGACTCGAGAGCTGGGTGATTCTGGCGCAGCAAACAGGAGGGCATCATCATCATCATCATCATCATCATCATCGTCATCATCATCGTCATCATCATCACCATCATCAAGAGAGAAACATGGCGCGTCCATCACCCTTCCTCCCCCCCCCGCCCCCCCTCCCCGAGCCTTATCCACAAGACGGACCACCTCAGCTGCTTCACTCCTGGGATGATCGCCCTGGCTCTCCGCAGCGTGCCGGCCTCCGACTTCGGGGACTCGCCGTCCTTCTCGGGAGCAGGGGGTCAGAGGAGGGTGAGACACCGATATCGCTACCGTTCCCTCGTCGCCACGGCTGAGTTCACCTGGAAATCCTGGTCAGAACGCACCCTTGGAGAGGTCCGGGTAGTAGCGGTGTCGGTATCTTGTCCCTCCAGAGGGGGCGGCGGGCGAGGGGAAATAGGGAGCGAGGTCGCGTTCCAGCATCGACCGCGCTGTTGCTTCGCAGCTCGTGCGACAGAGACGGTGATGGCCACGACGACGTTGACGACAGCGATCGAACAGAACGATGGTATTCTGAGCTAGGGGGTGGGCATGGCGCATGGCCTTGAGAGCTTATCCTTCATCCCGTGCCTCTTTCTTCGCGGCCTTGAGCACTGATCCCTCATCCTGTGCCTCTTTCTCCGCGGTCGCTGCTGCATTTTGTAGAGGACTGCGCTCGTCCGAAACGCCAAGACGACGTCTTGACGGAATCTGTCTGGTGAAGGCTCACCAAGCGCGGCAAACATTATGCTGCGTAAAAGGTGCGCAGTCCCAGCTGGCCACCCAACGCCCCTAGGGTTTCTCGGGGAGGTCTTAACACTCCAGCGCCGCCCCGCAGGTTACAGAGCGTTCCAGAGTTGGGATGTAAAGATCGCCCCAGATTGGCCTGGAGGCCTGCTGAGGCCAGCCTCGATTAACTCTGGGGTGTTGTCCACGAGAATCTCGATGTAGGACTCGAAATGATTTGCGGTCGTGCGGGGTGGGTGGGTGGGTGGGTGGAGTAAGGCTCCAGCTGGCACAGGTGAACTATCAAACCAACAAGCTTTTCCATCGTGCACACAGTCGGTTTCAAAAAAGACACTGAAACTCAATCTCGTGATCACTTCGCACAGGAATTTTCGCATCCAAATTGCAGTCTCGAGAGTCTCGCGAACGCACGGTCGCGTCGCATGCAAAGGCGCCCCGTGAACTCGCCATTGCTGTTTACCAATTGGTTGCATGGAGCGTCCCATCAGTGCCATCGATGCTACCTCCTTGGCCAGAGCTCGCGCCACCCCCCACAGACACGGGCAGGAGGGAGGGGCTTCCCCCAGCCTCGGACAGCTTTCAAGTTCAGACGAGCGACGCAAAACAACGGGGTCGTCTGCGCGGACGTTGGCGCGTAAGCTCCCCGCGCAAGGTCGCGCGTGAACGCCTTCGTCTCCAATGTAGCGTGCCGCGCGGGCGGCCCGCGTAAGCCACCGCGTAAGACCGCTAGGCCATCCCGCGTACGACCCGTTCTGGATCGTCGCTCAGATGGAAGCCGCTCTCCCCATTTCGGGCAGCCCCGTCCTGCGCAGCGCCGCGCCAGCGCCACCCACGGGCTCTCCGAGCCCCGAAGGCCCGCCCCGGAGGCCTCCCTTCGGCCAGGCCCCCGCCCCCCCCCCCCACCCAACGGGCCACCGCTCGGGGGAAGACGCACGACGACCATGCAGGGGGGCCGCCTACGATCCGATTCGAAGCGATTCGATCGGCCGGCTGGGTCCACGATTCCGATTCGATTCGATCTGGTCCGATCCAACGCTACCGGCTGGGGCCAGCCAGAGCCGGGCGCGGCGATCCCCTTTCGATTCGATTGAGGCCGATTCGTTGGCGATGCGATCCGTTCCCGATCCCATGCGATTTTTGTGCTTCGATCCGGCTCGAGCCTGCCATGACCAAGATGCTGCGGGACCTTGCCGACGCCGACCTTGGTCGGGTCCATTCTGGCCGTCGCCGACTCGCGAGGAGGATCCACGAAGGCGCGCTCGCCAGAAGGAAGGAGTCCGAGACCGGCACAGGCTCTTTTTTCCTGCGCCCCGTCCTGGTCCTGGTCCTCGTTCCCTTCCCCTCCAGCCGCGGAGTCGCAGGCCCTTCCTGGCCAGGCCCGCTCCGCACCCCCGCCCGCCCCTGCGCGGCCGCCCCCTGGCCGGCCCAGGTGGCGCAGGCTGGCCGGGTGAGCGCACCCGGGGCTGGCCCTCGCCTCTTCTTCACTGATCATGGGGGCGACGACGGCCGCGACGACGACCACGACGCTGACGCCGAGGCCGACGGCGACGGCGACGGCGACGGCAACCGTCGCCCGCCGAGCCGGGGCCTCCCAGAGGAGCGGAATCGCACCTTCTGGCGCCACGTCGCCGAGGGTGCCGCGGCCGGCTGCATGGAGCTCTGGCGCGCCCCGCCTCCCGCTAATTCCGACGCCCAGCGGGGGAGGAGGGAGGGGGGAGGATGTGGGCTACTCGGTCGCTCGTGCACGGAGGGCCCAAACAGGGCGCG